AAAAAAGACAAAAAAAAAAAAAAGACAAAAAAAAAAAAGGAAAACATAGGAGAAACACTTCAGCAAATAGGGCTGGGCACAGACTTCATGAATACAACCCCAAAAGCACTGGCAACCAAAGGAAAAATAAACAAATGGGATTATATCAAACTAAAAAGCTTCTGCACAGCAAAAGAAACAATTAACAGAGCTAAAAGACAACCAACAGAGTGGGAGAAAATATTTGCAAATTATACATCCGACAAAGGATTAATATCCAGAATATACAAGGAACTTAAACAACTTTACAAGAAAAAAACAAGCAACCCAATTTTTTAATTTTTAAATTAATTTTTGTTTAATATAAAATTTACATAAACATATATGATATAAACACAAAATGTTTTCTTTTTTTTTTTTTCCTTTTTGTCTTTTTTACTGACCGGTAACGGGATCGCAACCCTCGATGTTGCGCCCGCACTGCGCTCAGCCAGTGAGCGGGAACCGGTCTCAACATGGGTTCCGAACCCTCGGCGGGAGCGCCGCCGTGCTCTCAAGCGGCGCACTCTCCAGTGTGCCACCGGGCCGGCCCAAAATGTTTTCTTTTTTTTTAAATATAGTATAATGAATAACAACAATGAAGCCCTATGTACTCATCATTTAAACTAAAGAAATAGAACATATTTCAGTGGATAGTAAATTTTATCCGTATAAAATGTCCTGTTTCATTTAATGTTTTCTGCTTTATATTCTTCTATATTGAACCAGAGACTCCTGTTACATTTTTAAAAAATTGCATTTATTTAATAACCTTTTAAAAATAGAAATATAGTTGATTATACATGTTTGTGGGGTACAGAGTTAAATATTGATAACTGTGTACAATGTATGATGATCAAATCAGGATAATTAGCATGTTCATCATTTCAAAATGTAATCGTTACTTGTGTCCATGAACCAATTTCTTGCTAGGCCTCCCCCCCCACCCCGCTTCCCACCTCTAGTAAACAGTTCTATTCTTTCCTTCTGAAAGTTTAACTTATTAGTGTGTTTCCTTCTTGCTTCCCTCCCTCCCTTTTTTCCTTCCTCGCCTTATGAGTGAGGACACGTGGCATTTCTTTTTCTGTACCTGGCTTGTTTCACTGAACATAATTTTCTGCAAGCTCATCCATACTGTTGCAAATGACAGAATTTTATTCTTTTTTATGACTGAGTAGTATTGCATTGTGTACCACATTTTCCTTCTCCAGATGTCTGTTGATGGACATTTAAGTTGGTTCCATATCTTGGCTATTGTGAACAGAGCTGCGATAAACCTGGAGTGCAGTTTTCCCTTTGACATGATTTCTGCTCCTTTGGGTATATACCCAGAAGTGGGATTGCTGGATCATATGGTAGATCTATTTGTAGTTGCTTGAGAAAGCTCCATACTGTTTTCCATAGTAGCTGTATTAATTTACTGTCCTACCAACAGTGTATGAGTTCCTCTTTCTCCACATCCTCGCCAGCATTTGTCATTCTGTCTTTTTGATAATCGCCAGTCTAACTGTGGTGAGATGATATCTCAGTGTGGTTTTGATTTGCATTTCCCTGATGATTAATGATGCTGAGCATTTTTTCAAGTACCAGTTGGCCATTTCTATGTCTTCCTTTGAAAAATGTCTATTCAGCTCCTTTGCCCATTTTTAAATTGGATTATTTGGTTTTTTCCAACTGTTAAATCATTTGAGTTCCTTCTGTATTTCGGATATTAATCCCTTGTCAGATGTGTGGTTTGAAAATAATTTCCCACATTCTGTAGGTTATCTGTTTGCTCTGTTGCTTGTTTCCTTTGCCGTGCAGAAGATTTTTATGATATAATCCCACTTATTTATTTTTTCTTTTGTTGCTTGTGCTTTTGATATCTTATTCGTAAAGTCTTTGCCCAGTTCTACATTCTGAAGTGTTTCCCCTATGTTTTCTTCTAGGAGTTTCAGGTCTTATATTTAGGTTTTTAATCCATTTTGAGTTGATTTTGGTATATGGTGATAAGTATGGGTCTAGTTTCATTTTTCTACACATGGCTATCCAGAAATAAATTTATTTAAAGATTGTGCATAATGAATCTTTATTGCACTCCAGCCTCAAGGATTCAAGAAAATTTTATCTAACGTGAATGGCTATCCAGAAATAAATTTATTTAAAGATTGTGCATAATGAATCTTTTTTTTTTTTTTTTTTTAAAGATGACCGGTAAGGGGATCTTAACCCTTGACTTGGTGTTGTCAGCACCACGCTCAGCCAGTGAGCAAACCGGCCATCCCGATATGGGATCCGAACCCGGGGCCTTGGTGTTATCAGCACCGCACTCTCCCGAGTGAGCCACTGGGCCGGCCCAATGCATAATGAATCTTTATTGCACTCCAGCCTCAAGGATTCAAGAAAATTTTATCTAACGTGAAGAAAGGAATTATACATAGCTGGTATGAAAAATATCTATGGTTTGTAATGTCAAATTACAATGAACAGTTCTTCATTTGCACACTAGAGGGCTCTGGAGGCTGTGAAGGGCTACACAGAATTCGTTCTAATGGGAAATGATGTTCTCCAGTAAATTGGTGCATTGGGCTTTCACCAAGTTTAATGTTCACTAAATTGTTTGGCTGTATGCCATAATTAGCCTTATATTCCCTCGATTAGAATCACAAATAGAAATTTGTTAATCTACTTTCTTAGTAGAAAATGTTAGGAAAGTAATTAATTGCTAAAAATGGTTCTGCCTAATGTTTTTATGAAGAATTTTTTTTGTACTTTATTCCAAGCTTTTCCAAGCTTGATAGTATTTTCCATAATTTTGAAAAGAAATGTCAGTTTACACATAAACTGTAAGCAATGTTTTTCTCCTGTTAATAAATAAAATTTTTCTCCTCTTCCAAAGGATTATTTTATGCTTTCATATAGGCAGAAACCTAATTGTTTATTGAATGGAATAAAATATTAAAATTATATCTCTTGTATTTTTCAGGGAATCCGAGCTCGCATTTTAGAAACCCTGGTTATGCTTCTTCTTCTTGCCTTACTGATTCTTGGGATAGTGTGGGTGGCTTCGGCGCTCATTGATAATGATGCTGCAAGTATGGAATCTTTATATGGTACGGATTACTTGTATTAACCAGTTTCTATAATGGAGACTATAGTTTGGAATATAATTACACAATCACTTTAAAGAATATTTTAATGAGCTGCAGTTAGTTCAGTTGGTTAGAGCGTGGTGGTGTAACACCAGGGTAAGGGTTTGGATCCCCACCCCTGCCAGCCACCCCCTCCCTGCCAAAAAATTTAATAATTCTTTGTATGGTCAGCCCTTGATATTAATTTACAGAATTAAGAAGTCTTCAGATATGTTTAAGAAAATAAATGAATTCTTTTGTTTTATATATGCAGAATGAGTAAGCAGCTTGTCAGATTTTTGGTTTTTTTGTTAATTGGTTTCTGTTCTTAAAATTCCAATTCTGTAGAAGCTTTTTTTTTTCTTCCTTTCAAACACGTTTTGCAAAAGAGTTATTTCCTTTTCTTCTATTTTAGATCTTTTTATTGTACAGTTTAGAAATTAAATGGTTAGTAAACTCAAATAGGCAATTATGATGTTTACTATTCATTGATATAGTCAGCCTATATCTTAATATAGGCTGACTGTATCTCAATGTACAGTATTTTAGATTTATTAAAATATATTTACATTTTTTATAGATCTCTGGGAGTTCTATCTACCCTATTTGTATTCCTGTATATCACTGATGGGATGTTTGTTACTTCTTTGTAAGTATTTTTCTGACTTTATATTGATAGGAAAGTAGAGTTCTGTATTCTGGAAAATTTTGGGGAAGTTTTCTGTAGAGATTCCTTAACGACTTGGTGATATTTTTGAGTTGCCCTAACTTTTTTATAGTTCAAGATAAATTTTGGTAAACTGAAACTTTGAAATAATAAGATACTTTTTTTCTCTAAGGAAAACCTCTTTCACTGGATTGTAGAGAGAGGCACGCACACATACACACATACACATATTCTCAAATACTTATGTGCACACACACACTCCCTCCTCTCCACCAACACAATTCTAGATTCTGCTTTTAAATGGAAATAGTAGAATTCTGTATGATGAATTTGTTGTGTTTACTTCAAAATTTTTTCTTTTACTTGAGGTATCACAACCTATTTCAGGTATATTATAAGTAGATAAATGTAGTTCAAAGGACTGAAAGCTATAATTGTCACTTTGAAATTTAATTTGGTCTTTGCTTGGTTTTCTTCAATTTTTTTAAAGCAGAAGTATTTATTATTATCCCACTGCTAGAATCTTGAATATCCTAAGCTGTCTTTCATCTTCACCTACCTCTCACTAAGTGTAGCAGTGCTCATCCTCCTCCCACGGTCCCTTCTAGCTTCCTTACTGCTGTAGTTGAAGAATCCTTTGACAAAACACTGAGAGAATCTAAATCGGAGACAAGAATGTTCTTAATCATTGAATTTGCTTTATTTTTTATGGACTAGTAGTTTCTCTCTCATGCCTCTGAACTACAATTTTTCTCACTGTTGGTGACCTTCTCATTTGTGCAGTGTGTACACCAGTTGGCCTTTCCCGTATGTTCACAGTGATGGGTCAGTTGCTAGTGAAACCAACAGTAAGTATGTCATAAATCATTTGTTTATGAAATAGATATGTTTACATTTGAGCATCTTTTAGATCATTAACTAGCATTTAGACATACAAGAATTTTTGTAGGTTTATCACTCAAATTATTGTTGTTTTTTAAACCTTTTTCATCTTTGGAAACCAAATTTGTTTTTGCTTTTAAAATAATAATTGTAGGCACTTGGGTAAAAATTCATCTAGGAAATTTTAAGACAAAATTTGCAAATATTTATAGGTATTTTGATTGTTTATTGTCTTATATCAAACAGTACCACTGTTGTATTTCAAACTTTGCAAAGCAGTCCTGTTTCTGAAAATTTGTCTGCATATTATATCTTGATTAATTGAATTATACATTGCCTTTAATCTCAGAAATACTATATATTCATTTAAAAATTATTTTCACTTGGTAGTAATTCTAATGATTTGTCCCTAAGTTTCTCTGGTTGCTGTTTTGTTCTCTTTTGTCAAATATTTAATAATGTGAAAATAATTTCTTAGCTGCACTTAGGGAATTTGTAATTTATATTGCTTTCATGAAGGGGACCTTTCTGTTGTTGGGACTGTAATTTGGTGCAGCCATTAAGGAAAACAGAATGGAGGTTTCTCAAACAACTACAGATAGAGCTGCTATATGTTCTAGGAGTTCCACTGCTTGGGTATATACCCAAAGGAATGGAAATCATCATGTTGAAGGGATACCTGCACTCCCATGTTTATACAATCCTATTTACAATAGTTAAGATGTGGAACCAACCTAAATGTCCATCGATGGATGACTGGATAAGGAAAATGTGGTATATATACACTATGGAATACTACTCAGCCAAAAAAAGAATGAAATTCTGCCATTTGCAGCAGCATGTTTGAGCTTGGAGAAAATTATGTTACATGAAATAAGCCTAGCACAGAAAAAGTAATACTGCATGTCCTCCCTCATAAGTGGGAGCTAGGAAAGAAAGAAAAAAAGAAAGTGAAAGACAAAACAAAGAAAGAACATAACACATTGAGTGCTGAGAGGGAGAGAACAGAACTGTGGTTACTAGATACGGGAAAGGGAGAGAGAGGGTGGCTAGCGAGAAATTGGACAGTGGACAGAAAGAATGACTACATTTTGTATTGATGAATATCTTAATTATCCTGATGTGATTATCACATATTATACTCAGGTATTGATAGTCAACTCTGTGCCTCACAAACATTTATAATCAATAATGTTTTAAAAAAAAGGAAAAAAAATTATCTTCATGAATTCTCATTGTCTACAAACGCAAGTGTAAACTACCTACATGTTAAGAGGCCTTTCACAGCCTGCCCACACTGCATTTCCCTCCTGCTAGCCTCCAGGGACTTTGGTTCTAGCCCACCAGCTGACTTGCCATGCTTCAAGTAGGCTCTAGGCTTTCCTTCTCCAGGCATGTCTCTGTCCCTCCAGTGCCTCTTACCTGTTCCACCCACCTGAAGGCCCAGCTCAGAAATCAGTGGTACTTATTACATATCTTTTAGCCTTGCCTTACTTCTTTAAGCAAAAGTAAACTCCTTCCTCTACATTTCTTATATTTCCCTTTGTTTGTGTCTCACTAGGAATACTTACTAAATCATTATGGTTATATGTTTGTCTTCTCTATTGTGATCTATTAAGGACAGACACTGAGGAAATGTTATGGTGCATATTCTTTTAGTAAGTGCTTGCTTAATTTTGAAAGTCATAACCTCTTCATATCTTCTTTTTAAAATAAAATTTTTTACTTACTACATGAGTGTATATACACTCAGATATAACACACATGCTGTCAAATCTTGAAATTGACCTCCCTCTCACGTTTTGTGACACTGCATTCATTTAGTTTATTCCTACTTCTCTGGTTTTTCTTTGGTCTCTTTCTCCATATCTATTTCCTGCCCCTTAAATATAGGCAAATGTTTAAAGTTCTGTCCTTGGTTTAAAGTTTTATTAAGGCTCTGCTCTGTGCTCCTGACTATCTCTGCCACTTCTATATCACTTCTAAATGTCTAATTCTAATGAGGAAAAGACAGTGCAAACAAGTTACAGTACATTTTAAGTGCTATAATAGAATACTTCATGGAGCTGAAAGCTTAACATATGTAAAATCAAACTACTTATCTCCCTTCCAAAGCTAATTTTTCTCCCAAACTTGTCTCTTGTTAGTAATATCCTCAAAGCCTTAGTTATCTTTGCCTCTTATCTTTTCTTGTTCTTAACATCCAATAATAATGGGATGTTATTTATTGGGTAATTGAGTATATTCTATATGCTAGTGATAAGTGTGTATTTTATACACATAATTTCATTTCATGGTGGTATCCTTATTTTGTGGGTAAATTAACTTCAGGGAAATTAAATAGCTTGTACAAGGTCACAGATCTGTGTGATGGGGCGGGGGTTGAATTCAGAGGCTGGTTTCAGAGCCCTGGTTCTGCCATTGTGCCACAGTAATAGAACCACTTTCTCACAAGGTAGACTTTATACCTCTCCACCTCTGTTTTTCTTATAGTTTCCTCTGATTATAATGCCTTTCCTCCTTTTGGTAATTTAATCTATCAGGTAACATGCCACTACCATCAAAAACACTGGCCAAAACTTTTTTCCTCACCAATTGGAGGTAATCTTTCTTCCTCTGAACTTTTGTAATGTTTTATTTAAGCCTCAGTTATGACATTTATTTTAATCCTATGATTATTTTTTGAATTCATCTCATCTTTTCTGCTACACTGGAAAATAAGGTGTTTGAAGTCAAGGACTATGTCTTACCCATATTTAAGCCCCATTAGCAAATAGTAGTTATGGACATAAACTTTGAAGGCACATAACTTTTCTTTGTCAAACCCTTGTTTCTGGGGATATAACATGGGAATGATAACAGACTGTTTTTCATAGGTGGCTGTAAGAATCAAGTGGGATGATGCTTGCCAGCACTTAACACAAGTATCTGTGTGCTCCTCAAATTGTCACTCACTCACACTAGGACATACCTGTGGCGATAAGTGATTATTGGACAATTTGTACAGTAAAAGTCTTTTTGTATGTTTTAGACCTTAAGAAAAGCAAACGCTGTTAGTTCTGATCCAAACAGGTAGAAAGTGATGAGAAGCACTGATGGGAAAGAAACTTTGTATCATGGCCAGAGAGATGCGGTCCCCACCTACTCATGTGTGGATTCCGTCTTGGATTACTCCTCCCTAATTCACTGCATCCAGGGTCCTTTTAGTGGACTATTCTTTTTTCTTTCTCTGGACCATCACAGCTCCAGCACATGCCACTTGTTTGTTTCAGCTTCATTGTTGTCTCCTTGGAGAGGTCTCACTGGCTAGCCTGTTTAGGTTTCCCTTTCTACTTTATCCCATCCCTTCATCCCTCATAAGGTGGTCATTCTTTGTCATTATTTATTTGTATACTTACTTATTTATTCTTATTTTATTCTTTATTTTTTCTTCCCTCTCAAGTTTAGGCTTCCCAGGGGTGGAGATGATACGTGTACCCAGTGATAAATTCAGTGCTAGGCCACAGGCGACCAGGCATATTTGTTGAAAGATTGAGAATTTTTGGGTTGCCTTCTTCCCTCTCAAGTTTAGGCTTCCCAGGGGTGGAGATGATACGTGTACCCAGTGATAAGTTCAGTGCTAGGCCACAGGCGACCAGGCATATTTGTTGAAAGATTGAGAATTTTTGGGTTGCTCTAAATAAAATTTACATAGCCTGTGTAAATTCGATACCTGATGATTTGAGAATTCATTTTCTGAAAATACCTTATCAGGTAGCTGAAAGGATATATAGGGTTTCCATTCCTTTGTTTTGTCCACCAGCTCCTCACAACTTATTATTTTGCTGAGAATGAGTAGTTTGGGTTTGGGTGATCCAGAACATTGATACCAGCTGTGGGCTTCTTTCAGATTTTCTCCAGAGCTAGGAAGATAGTTAGGATCCTCTCACAAAAGGACAGCTATGTTAACAAAGCTAGAATTAAACAAGTGTTAGGTTTATCAGTTTTTAAGACAGTGCAGATAATATCCCATACAATTGGTAATTGATTAGTATGACTGTTTTTCTTTTGAACTACTGTTGTATGGCTTGGTGGTGAGTGGTGTATATGTAAACATACCACTCTCTAGGGTTCTGTTCATTGGATGATTTTGATAATACCGATCTTCAACATGTGTGGAATGTTTTTAGTATATAAAGATGATATAAATGGAAAGTATTGCATGTTACTGATATAGTCTATGGATTTCTTGTTTTAGATATTGTGCAGGTAAATATAAATGAGAAAACAAATGTTGGACTGGGTGATCTATTGCTTCTAGCTCTAAAATCTTGGCTCAGGCATAGAGATATTTACTGTATTTAGGTTTCTGATTCTTTAAAATTCATACTCTTTTTTTTGCCATTGATAAAACTGCAAGATTCTTTAGTGTACTCTGTGAAACTTTAAAAGTATTCAATTTAAATTGTATGTAATTTTATGATAATCAACTTTTGATGTGTTTAGTTATGTAGTAAAATATTTTTATATAATTTGTAAATAAAATAGTTAAGCATTTTAATTTTGGGTTCTTAGTAATTTGAATGAATACATTACCTAAAATAATAGACTGAATAGCCTAAACATTCTCATCAGTACTAGTTTTGTACTGTTGCATTATTGAATAGTTTCATCTTTAAATTTAGATTCTTGAAGACCTGGATGAACAAGTTTACATTATTACCCTAGAGGAAGAAGCACTCCAGAGACGACTAAATGGTATGCGTGTATTATGTATTTAGACCAGTATATAAAAATCTAGTTAAAAGAAGACAGATAATTGAAGGGAAAAAATATAAACCTCTCAGTGTCTTGTGCTGCTGTGAGAGGTGTAGACTTAAGAGTAAGAAGGTAACTTCCCCAGTGAAGGAAGGTTGGCCGAAGGCCCTGGCTGAAGTGGGCTGTGATCTAGCAAGGGCAGCTCTTTTTTGAGACATTGGCCCCTGAGGGACTAGGCATGCGTTTACTACCAGCCCCTCCTGTATCTCAAAGCATGTGACTTGCAGTTACTGAGGTGTTGCCGATTTGCTTGTTGTCATAGTGACTATAATATCCCTACTTCATTTTCCTTCTATTGAAGTAACTTAAGGTAAAAAGTAGTGTGTTTCTTTGATCCTAAGGTACCAAATTTGTCTCTCTAAGTTTCACTTAGGAACTCTGTTATTATTTGGGAATATTGT